GACATGTCTTATACTGCGAACTCGGTCGACTTAATTAACGGCCACTCTTCCTCCTTGACCGCCGCTTCATCCCTTTGATTCAGTCTTGAGTCGTCCAAGAATCCGAAGAGCTTCGGTCCAGATCCAACTTCGAGGTTCGCCATCTTCAAGTTGCTGCCAGTGCTTCAGGTCCAGTCTTCTCCAACTCCCTCCGTCCTTCAGGTTCTTCTCTCGAGGCTTGACCAACAAGAACTGGATCCAGCATATGGTAGAGTGCCAGGGTAGGTACCGGTAGACATGTCACTGGTCAAGATTGGCCCAGGTGCTGAGGGACTCAAAAGCATGAGATCCCCACCTTCTATGCGCAGGTACAACATCCCGGAGGGTAGGCGCAAGAAGGGGCTGACCCATTGGAGAGGTCAGAGCAGCATGCATCGAGGCATCAGTCCCTTGGTCCTCTCTAACCCTAAAGGTTAGCAGAGGATGGAGCTAGGCTCTCTTTTCATTTCTTTTCTGGTGCTCGGGACTTGAGTTCATATAGTAAGAACTCGCACCGTGCTCAAGGCACAGACCACAAACCTCTGGCGTAGGCAAGATCCAGAGGCGGGTCTTAGCGACATTAGAGATCGCAAGGACCAAGTGACAGTACCGGACACCACACCACTAGACCAAGGGGCACGAAGCCCATCACCCGGCTTGATTGTTAGACATCCCGGAGGGTAAAGCCTGCAGTGACCCAGGGGTAGCTTGCCGCGCCCTGGCATGGTCCGGCTCATAGCCTTTACCAGGAACTTGTGGACAGCGGCCTCAAGAGCAAGACACATGCAGACTTCAGGAGTTGGAGAGACCTGACCATCCACACCAGCGAACAACTATCCCACAGCTCACCCTTCCGCTTTCTCCTTCCCTAACCCTTCTTCATCAAGTGGCCGACCTCGGACTTCACTCTCCAGTCATAGCCGATTAGTTCACAAGGTTGATTCTTGATCTCTTAACATGAGTAGCTCAGCAACGGTGATGTGTTCCCAGTGCATTCAGCCCAAGAATCTGATACGCGCCTAGTTCGACCTTTCGAATCCCAGTTGGCACCTTTTCTATCACTTAGGATGACTCGGTATCGGCTCTGCTGGGATGATCCATTGTTTACGTCTAAACCACTACAGTCGAAACACGTGGGTCTGGAGACAAGCTGGGCTTGTCCATGAAGGGTCGGGCTTGTCCGACCCTGGCTTGCACGTTGCGGTCGGGCTTGTCCGTGCACATCGTCCGGACACATGTTGTATCTTCCACAGAGCACTTCGAGATACCTCCTCAGTAAGGAGCATACATGTGGAGTCCTCACGTGCGCTTTATCGCCATGGTAGCCACATGAATGTGAGGGTCGCGTATATAATCAGGTTCGCTAGGTACCGGGACGACAAATCCCAAAAATTGGCCCACGTCTCGAATACCACTCATCACATTAGCCGTTGAGGTCGGAGCGTCCCCCATAACCTCCTAAGGACGATTATTTGACTGGTACACTCAACACGGTTACAAATATTAACATAATCACGCGCATCACATTATCATCATATTCCTACTATCCACCCTTAACATCAGCATTATCATGAGCATCGTCAACACTAGTATCCTACTTGTTGTCGTTTTTACGCTTTTTCTATCAAATTACTAACCTTCACCTTCATCATCACTGCTTCCCATAACAACATCATCATAATCATCGTCATCACACAATTTCTCCATCAAGATCGCATCGCCGATCGGAGACCATAACAACGTTAAAAATACTCAAAAATGTCAATAAAATCCATCTGGGCATCATAACTTCACAGCCCGCCATCATTCACGCCATTCGTGATAAATCGGTAACATCAATTAACTCTTCTTATCCACTACTTCGTCTGAAGCACCATCAGCGCCTCGTCAACCTTCGAACGTAACTGAAAACGTAGTGATGACCGGAATATCCAAAAACACACCCCCTTACCTGGGATTCCGACTCGAGGAGAATTAACAATTCACTATTGTCCATCTCGAGCATCATACCTAACATTGAGGAAAAACAACATGATGATGATGATGACCCAAGCAATGTCACATTCATCCCACCCGTAATCTTCCCGGCCAGCTGTGGTTGGATCCTTTGGATGTGCGTATACAGCTGTTCACCCAACATCTGCTTTTGTATAGCCGGAGGGGCTGCGGCCAAACCAGCGGCAGTCAACGGCTACAGTGAAGGACAACGATACAAGTACATATAGTAGTTGAATGCTCTCCTCACCTGTTGATGTGGAGTAGTAGTTGACTGCGTGGTGCTTGGTCCTCCTCCTCCTCCAACCTGCTGTACTTGTGGTGGGAATCCTCTATTCGGTATGCCCATAGGAGGGCCCCTAGGTAGGCCACCCCCACCTGGTGGGCCACGATTAGGTAGTCCAGGGACACCCATCGGACCCAACGGGCCACCCCTCGGGCCCATACCTCCCATTGCTGGAGGAGGAGGATGACCACGACCAATACCACCACCACCTGGTGGCATCATACCTACCACACACCAAGCGAGATGAGTAGTAGCAACAGTACGACCTCGTTGGACCTACCTTGCTGAGGGCCGCCGTACCCTCTAGGGCCACCACCACCATACTGAGG